TTTCATTAAAAAAAAAAGGTAAACATTCATGTTTCTATATTTATTCATATGTCTATGTTAATTAATAGAGAAACATAATTTCATCCAGTATTAAGACAAAGAAACAATTTTTTTCTATGAATGTATACTATTAAATTTTGGTATTAAGCAACTTATATCGTCTATAATAAATACGTAACTATAGTAAATTATTAGATCAAACATATAATATTGCCAATTCAATAATAGAAACAACACAGACAAACAAAATTCTTGAATACATTACAACATCTTTGATAATTATTTACCAAATATATCGTTGAATAATACTATAACTTTCGAAATCGGCGCAATTATCAAGATGAATTGATCATTGTTAATACATCACTTAACTGATCCGCATAATAATCCGGAACAATTATATCTTTAGCATTCGCAGCAGTTGCATTAATAGCGTCTACATCGCTTTGCGTTGTAATTCCCGTTAATACAAGTAAAGTTTTAAATCCGCAACGTTTTCCAAGAAGGATATCAGTGTCACGACTGAAATAACATAATTATTAAATATTGAATAAATAAATAAATAACATAGATTCGTATAATATGTAATATTTACTTGTCACCAATCATCAAAGTCCTTTGAGGATTCAAATTGTATTTCTTGACTATATATTCAATCAAGAAAGGTTCCGGTTTCCCAAGAAGAACTGCCTTTCTGTTAGATGCTGATTCTATTGTTTGTATGAAGCAGCCAGTTCCTGTATAATATAATACATACATATTAAAATTCATATAGTTAATTACAATATAATTTTCTAACTTCTCAAGGAATTGAATTTTTTCACCTGGAAATCTATTAGTATTTGGTGAAGGTCTCTCTGTATCACAATTTGTTCCTATAAAGTGAACATTTGGATCTGCCAAATAAGTAGCAGCTTTCATAAGCTTCGGAAAACTAAAATGTTTATCGAAGCCTACAATCACAGCTCCCACTTCTGGATCAGGTTTAAAGTTCTTTACCATCTCTACTTCATCACCATCCATGATATCAGGCTATTACAACAAAATGTAAATATTGTTTTCTATTAATAATATATTAATAATTAATAATAAAAATCTTGTTTTGGAAACTTACTCCAATGCCACAATGTTTTATCCCCTCAGTTTCCAGCTCTTTGGTAATACCCACACTCCCAACCACATAAGCCTTTTTAGCAAATTTTTGTTCCTTAAGATAAACTGCAGCCAGAAAGGAGGTGCACACTATTTCTTCCTAAAATCATACACATTAAAGAAATACCTTAAATACTCAGTAATTGTTTAAATTTTGATATCAGAATATAAATTTTATTTACCATTGTGGCATCGTATTTAAGCTCTTTACATTTCTCTACAAACTCGGGTCTAGTTTTGGTGTTGTTGTTTGTTATGTAGAAGAACTTCTTACCTAACTGTTTAAATTTGTTTACAGTTTCAGGTGACCCTTCTATCACTTCGGTTTCTTTCCATAGTACGCCTAAGGTTTACTGAGATTAAAACACCATTTATAGCATTACATCCAGAATCATACAATTTTTTAATGTTCATTTTTTATTAACTACATTCTTGATGCAAGAACGATATAAAATAGAAAAAAATTGCATTTTATTCGAATCATAAACATTATATTTAAAACACTCACCATCACAGTCTGATAAAACTACGTCAAAAGATTCAAGGAATTGTTTAAATTCGTCTTTCGATAATGATGTTATCTTTTTCGTTGTCATTTTGTAATTGTCTGTGAATTAGTCTTCTTAAAACGAAGTCTGCTATCCAGGCACGATATCTTCTTTATCAGTAATCCACTGATACAACTCGAAAGATGATCTTCGACAGAGTGTGTTCCTGGCTGATAGCCACGCATTTGCAACGTGACCTTGCTCGTCTATTACATAATACGGGGGTATAAATTGTACACTTACTTCATTCACAACTACCAATAGGTACAATTGATGACAACGTAATGTGTTACTTAATATGATAGCAAGAACAACAATATTTTTTATTCTTTTCGATATCTATATTTCCGATTGTAACTATTTATTATATACTTTTAATACATATTTACAACAAAATAACCTATGAAACACATAGTTAAATAAAATATTTAGGAATGCAAATTTATGTTATGAAATGTATGAAACTTCATGAAATCATAACTTTTAAAGAAACAAAATAAGGTTAGATAAAACTTTAGATTCTATATAATCACAATTGAAATCAATGGTACATAAATAACTATAATTGTAATATACATTTCAATATACCTGTAACTATTATATATATATTACATTCAATGAATATATTTACTATCTAAAGACATTTTGTTTCAATTAGATTATACAGTTGCAAAATATTTTCATAGAAAATAATATTGTATTTTATGTATACTACATTGCACATTTATTCTTAAATTTTTGTAAGTAAGGTAAAAGATCTCCAATTTCATTAATATAATAATCAGGAATAAAGTCTTTCTCTTCTACACACTCCGATTGTTTCCACCTATTTACATCCTCAGAAGTGGTAATTCCTGTTAAGACTAGCAATGTTTTAAATCCACATCTAGTTCCTAGTAGTATATCTGTGTTATGCCGATCACCAATCATTAAGGTACGTTTAGGATTAACTTTAAATCTTTTTATTAATATATCTGCTATATAAGGCTCTGGTTTACCCATTACAGTAGCTTTCCTTTCTGAACAACTTTCTATGCACCGTACCAAACTTCCAGTACCTGATACAAAGATTTGAATTTTAATCCTTAAATACGTACGTTCATGTTATATTATAAAACATATTAAATTATAAATACCAGGTATGACAACATTGTTAGCAACAGGAAACCTTTCATCTGTATTTGTGCCAATAAAATATACATTGGGATCACTTAAATATGAAGCTGCTTTTACCATTTTGGGATAACTAAAGTGTTCATCGAAACCAACTATAACTGCACCCACTTCAGGATCCTTTACAAAAGTATTATAAGGTACATTTTTATTAACAGGATCTGGTCCTACACCAGTACTTGAAATTCCAACTTCATGCAATTCCTTTGCAATAGCTGTAGCACCAATTATTAGAAGGATATAATATATAACATAATATACAGTACTTAGTAATAATGTTAAAGTGATATAATAAAAATGTGACCCTTGCCTTCTGAACCTATAATATAAGTTTTTCTATTAAAACCCAGATCTTGTAAATAACAAGCAGATAAATTTGCAGTACATAAAATATCTTCTTTTGATGCTTTAAAATTTAGTATTTTACATTTCTCAACAAATTCTTCCCTAGTCTTTGTACTATTATTAGTAACATAAAAAACTCTTTTTCCAGCAGACATAAAAGAACTAATTACTTCTGCAGCACGTGGTAAAGGGGTCATATACATCCAAAGTACACCTAAAATAATATTAATATGATTATTTACATTATTATTTTTCATATACATTAATTAAATAAAATTGGTTACTTACCATCACAGTCAGTAAGCACAGTATCAAAAGAGTTAAAAAATTCAGTAACTTCATCATTATTTAGTGTTTTAAAATTTATTGCAGCCATGCTAAGAAACAATTTAACACCTCTGCTTAAAATTTATTATAACAAAACAAAAGTTAATTTACATATTTCTTACAAAAATTATTGTAGTCAATGCAATTAAAAGATGTAAATAAATGACAAGAATCTGTATGTATTAGTACAGTGGTAAATGAAATTTCAAATTTTACATGAACAAAATCCGGAAATGAACTAATTTCCGATTAAATCATCCCTAACAGGGGTGCCATTATTAATATTGAAAAAAATATACTGTTATATTATTTTATAATTATTATGTTCTTATATAAATTGTTCATTTAATTTGAAAAAATGAAATTAATACGTAATCATTAATGATACAGCATGGACCGACTATAGGTTATATTCACATGAATGGTTGTAAATGCAGTTTCACATTTATATTTTTCTTATAAATTACAATAACGTTAGTATAAATAGTCAATATCAACATATTATTTTATACACAAAACTCACATGTTTATTTAAGTTGAATTTGCTGTTTGCACTAGACTTGTAAATCTTTTTTTCTTACTTTGTCAGCACCGTTTACTTACGTAAATTTGAATTACAAAGTTTTAGGTTTTCAAGAAATATCCGTATTTCGCAATTTAATCGATTCCTCGAACGATACAAGCTTCGAAGATTAGTAAAACTTAAAGTTAAGTGAAACATGAAAAGTAAGAAAACATGTAAAATTTATGACATGACGTCTAAATAGTTGAACATACGATCATGAAAAAGTGATCATTCATAATTTGAATAATTATAAATCTGATCAACGTCATTACCAATTACGTAAACCGAAAACCAATTTCTTTATCTAATCAGAATGTAGATCATAAAATAACTTCACGAACCAAGAAAAAAAATAATTGAAATGAAAAATTTATATTTCATTGAATGTTTATGTATTTATACGAAATTGACCATAAAACGAGATCATAAAATTTTCAAAAAATTTATTATAAAATATACCTTAGTTAAGTACATATTCAACCCTACATGTGTGAACAATGTTTACATACAACAACTACAATGCGATCAGCCTCCACCCTGAGAGCTGATCACGAAATAAAAAGGGGTTTGAACAACAATGAAAAGTACAAAATAAATCATGTTCCTTTCGTAACGAACGATAGACTTAAATCATTATGAATATTATCGTTATTAACTTAGAAATCAGCTAAATTTTTTTTAGTAAGATAGCAGCGTGTGCACACTAAAAGTTTGAGCGTAGTCATATATACATTCTGAAATCACATAAAAATTCGGAGGTCATACGTAGATTGAAACGAGCACATACTCATGACACATTTCAAATGTGTTTATATATATATATATATATCTATATCTATATTATAACCCTTATAATTTAACCCTTTGCGAATATTTAACCCGTATACGAAATTATATAAGCGTCCATTGAAACCTATCGACGGAACGATAATGATTATTTATTAATAGAAATAAATATTCTACGTGTCTTGTCATGGGTTTGATGAACGTATTTCTAATCATTAACGCAGTAGCTGTTCCGGCTATACAAATTGTTTACTATTGAACCGCAACTGCTTTGCAAAGGGTTAAGACTAAGACATTCATTTTGTCTTTTCTGCACTGTCATACAATTAACATGTTATTTAGCCCATTTAATTAGACATCACAACCTTAAACATAAAGTTCATCAGAACTGGTGTCAGTGTATCCCCGACGAAAACACATTAAAAATATACACACAACTGATTATCAGTTTCTTAATGCATGTTGATTGATAACACAAGTATAATGCTTTCATGTTCCATGTATTAATCATTACGTAATAAGAGAGTTATAATTAAAATATGAAGCTATCTCTGGTGTTGCATATAACATCAACACTAAGAATTCTCTCAATACCAATTCATAACCGACTTTTACTGCCGGGTACGATGTACTTACATTTTTCCTTAAAATGTTTGTAATTTGGATTGAAATGGCCCTAAGATATCAGTCTTTTAGTTAAAATTTTGTTAATTTGATTAAAAATAGTTGAGCATAACTGTATGAAGTTCGACAAGGTCTGCGGTTGAATAAAAGATTTTAACCATTCAAAACTACCTGTTGACTGCCTCCTTTGAATCATATATAATTACGTCTCGATGACACCAGAGGAATGAAAATGACATGAGAGGTAATCTTGAATGGTCGAAAATCTATTGCTATAATAAAAACATACAAATTACGTTCCACAGCCGATGACTTCTAAAACGCTATTATATATCATTATTCGCAGAGCATTTTGTTCGAATAATATTACACAATCTTGTTACAATATCATTTCATTTGCTGGTAATAATTGTTTAATACATAAATATTGATACAACATTAAATTTCAAACGACAAAAATGGACAATTAGTAGAAGGTAATAAATAAATGAATTAGAATAGGATGTGGACTATATTTTAAAAAAATAAAAATCTCTAATTGTATGAAATTTCTTTTACATGCTCTGCACGCTATTTGCATAAATAGCATTTCACATATTACTCGAACAAAACACTCGTAATTATCGGACCAGTAACTACATGTCGCTTTCAAGTGAACATCAACGGGATTCTTATATTAAATATGCTACTTTACGACATATATGCAAACATAACTTGTATGTACTTATACTACGTTCTCATGATGATGATGATAATGATGATGAAAATAATAATAATAATAATAATAATGATAATAAAATAATAATAATCTTAATCTTAAGACATATTACAAATACATTTAGGGCGTTTGATTATTGAATTATCTACACGCATCGTGGTTACTGATTATCAATATCATCTACAATCCTATATTTTCAGAAATGGACCTCGTACACCTTTGAAATTCAATTGAAATTAAGTAAATGTTCATACTTTCGTTATTGAAAGACAATCAATTTACCAATGAAATAAATAGGATCCAGCCTATAAGTCGCGAATAAAACGGAAATAGTACAGATAGAGAATAATCACTGATTAAAGTTATCAGAAGTATGGCAGTTGAGGCCAACGTGTAAAGTGTTAAAATAAAAGTATACTACTTCCATATAGCTACTACATTATATTAGATAATTAAAGAAAAAAAGACAAACTAAATCATTACTCTTCTTTTCTTCGCATAAGCCACTTTCACTATATTCACAGTTTCCATTAGGAGGGTATCCAATATAGCCACTGTAAGACCATTTTTTACAGCAAGTTCGTCATGATGAAATTTGGTCCATTCATCTTCTTCGGCTTGCGCCTCTCTAGCCAATAATTCGTCGACCCTGTCTCTTCGTTTCCTACTCCAACGCATCACCATATTTTCTCTTTGCAATTTCGTCTTGAAACCGAACAATGTAGCCACCTCTTTGTTGACGTACTCGTTAAGTTCTTCTATAGTTTTCGGAATTTTCATGGTAGGTTTTGTCTTTACATTTGGTTTCGTCCAACTGGGACCGGGTTTCTCATATTCAGCTTGGTAAACCTCAGCGATTGTTTCTTTGCATAGATCGAAGAGGAATGTATTGTAAATTCTTCTATCCTTCTTTACAGTCTCATCATTCTCTTTGGTTAGCTCATAAATCTCCGGAGGAGCTTCTAAACTCATTATATCGTCCCCTGCTTCTTTAGCTCGGAATATTAATGCTGTTGCCTTCTCGGTAAACGCGGTGAGTTCTTCTATGTTCGAGGGAATCACAGCTGGCGGAGGAGAAGGTGATCCAAGCGATGTTGAAATTCTGGTACCACCACCTGGTGGGGTGTACGGTGGTGGTGGTTTGTTAGGTATCTCTCTCACATAATAAGATACCTCCTCTGCTTCTAACTTTTTAATCTGTACAACAGTAATAGACATGTCACAAAATGATGTTTTTTGTATTAAAAATAATTATAATTATAAATTAATGGTTTTACCTCTAATTCAATTTGAAGCTGTTGAATGCGTAATACTTTTGCTTCCAATTCTGAAACTTCCAGGCCGGGTTGTTCCAGTGATGCTGTATAAATAAAAATATGAAATAATATGAATCTAATAAAATCTTTTGTCGACAAATTGTCCAGGAAAAGCAACACGAATCTTTACATTACAATATGTATTCGCGTATTACTTTGATTAGGTGCTTTGAGGATTAAAACAAAAATTCAAATGTAGATAAAGAATATTCTTTCAATGCATTAATAAAAATATTATAAAGCTGTGATGAAAATGAACATTCCAAGTAAAATTTATACATAATGAAAGTTCCTTTTCTCAAAAACTTGGAGGAAATAAAAGATAAAGTATTTTACACATGTGTTGTGTAGTACAATATTTACAGGCTTTTCTTGTGCACAGACATTAATAATCAAAGGTCAAGCACACATGCGACACTGATTTGTACAGAAAAACAAGTCAATGTTCATTTCATTCAAAGTTTCGTGTTGTGTTACCTTTAAGTAATTATTATCTCGATTTTGCTTTTCTGAAAATAAACAATATTTGGCTATACGAGGCAATGCTTTGCGCAAAAATACACGGCCATTATAAAAATTAGTACATGTCTCTGTAATGTTTATAATATATAGTATATATATGTATATATATGTATATATTTACACGCAATGTAATTGCTAGTTCAAAAAATATAAGTAATATAAAATTAAATTAAACTCAATCAATTGCATTTGACGGAATTTATGCCTTTAAATATCTATCTCTTAACACTGAACAATAACATTATTTAAAAACCGATGACTTCATGATCATAAATTTACACATACACATTAAAAATGAGGGCTTTTTATATATTTACAATATATAAAGAAATCGCCTATTAAATTATAAAAATAGATATGTAAAAATATACGTGATTCAAACTTAAAAATGAATTATATTCAAATGGTATGCCGACAACTTAAATTTTATAAGGCGAGGAATGTTAATATTTTACGTAAATTAACAATGTACCTTTTAACTTATCAATCATGACCTCTATATCCTTCTCAGATGTAGCAACGATTGGTGTAGCGTGATATGTATTCTTAGAATCCCCATTTTCACTTTTGGTACTAACATTGTTCATCAAATCATCGTTTAATGCATCAATGTATAATCTTGAATCATTAGCATCTCTTGGAGAATCCATCTCGATTTCCGATACACCTTTCGGTGTATCCTTATCCTCACTTGATTCAGACAATGCATCTTGTTCTTGGTTTTCCTTATCTTCTGCATCATTCGAGCCAATTATTAATTGTAACGATCGATTTTCATCCTCAGCTACTGCTGTTACGGACATCTGATTCTCCAAATTGCTACTTCCAAACAATTGCTCGTTTTGGTTACCAATATCCTGATCAGCTTGATCATCAGCTTTCGAAAGTAAAATATCATCTTTCATGGAAATATTGTCTTCCATTTTTATATCAGTTTCTGAAATTTCTTCGTGATTCTGAAGCTGTTCCTCGTCATGATTAGAACTAGGTGAAGATTTTTGAGTGATTTCGTCAAGTATTCTCAATACCTCTTCCGATTTCTGTACCACTTCATACCTTTCTGGTATTGGATACGATTTCTGTACAGAAACAGATTTCTGAACTTCACTTTTATCAAAGATTTCAGAAACCTCGAGGCTTTCTTCTGAAATATCTTCATATTCTGGGTCTTTCAGAATATTGAATGTTTTATTTATTAACTCCACAGGTACATTAGATACGTTCACTTCAGCACAGTCAGTTATCAGACTGTACACAGCTGCAGAACTGTCCTTATTCTCCTGGCTGCATATTTTACATTCTTGGGACTTACTAAGTTGCAATTTTGTCACGTCGGGTGATATTTCTTCTGTTTCAGAAACAGAAGGCTGTTTCTCTATAGTAGCCAATCCACTTTCAGCTACTTCTATCAAGTTATCAAGTTGTTCCCCATCAGAACTTTCTAATTCTGCCGTAGCATCCAATAATTTTTCCTCTTGTATTTCTTGGATTTCTACTTTGTCTTCGCATTTATTTGTTTCTAGCTGTTCCTCTTCTGCAAATTCTATTTTAGCATCGATTTCAAGATCCGATAAAGTGTCATCTTCCGTGCTTCCAGGTTCCAGTTCTGTTATTACAATCTCTTGAGCTTTACATTCAATGAGATGTGCATCTTCATCATTTTTATTTTCTTTGCTTACGTTGTAATCAAGAACAGATTCGCTATGGTCTTCGATTTCTAATATTTTACCTTCCTCCACATCATTATTATTATCCAGTACATCTTTAATTACATTAAACTCGTTTTCGGACTTGTTCTGTGATTCGGAAGTATGTGACACAAATTTAGATTCTTCAATTACAGTTGCTTTCGCTTCAGTTCTATTTTCACTGATATGGGAATGATTCTCAATTTTTTCTTTTATCGAATTATTGTCTATACTATTTTCAACTTTATCCAATATTTTAGTCACAGACTCATAAATAGCATTTTGGAAATCATCGGTTTCTATAGTATGTACAGTTTCGTCCTGTATTTGATCCGCATCGTTATCCTTACCAATGATGTAAAATATATCGTCAATATTATTACTAGCTTTATTAATATCTGAAACCGGTATTGTTTCATCAAATTTGACTCCGTACGCATCGATATTCGTAGATTCACCTTTGGGAACAAATAAGGATAAATTCTCAACATCACTTTCTATTCTCTCTTCAAAGTTTTCAATTTCAATATCAGCTGATTGAGACGTATCCTTTGTATGTACTAACTCGCTTGAATCATCGTTGAATTTTGAGTTTTGACTTTGAGATTTCTCCCATTCCGAATTGGTGACATCCTGTTGAATATCAAAGGAATCAGATATTGTCCAATCATCTTTGTCAAGAGAAGTTTTATCTATGGGTTTTGCCTTTATCTGACTCTCATCTTTGCTAATTTCTTTGTTAATAAAGCTGACACTGTGGTCAGATACATTTGCCTTAGGTGTTTTAACGGACTTTGAAGAATTCCCTTCAAATCCTACTTCTTCGTTTGTTACAAGTAAATTAGTTTCATCTTTGCGCTTGTCCGACATCGATTTGAAACTATCTGCTTTTGAAACTGAACATACACTATTTGTATCTTGACGTTCCTCATCTTTCGCATAATCTATTACTTTCTCAATTACTTCAGTCTTCTGAATTGTATGTACAGATTGCGGAGAACTTGATTTGGTCAATAATATAGTTGCAGATTTTACAGTTGTTACCGGCTGTATAACATTCCGAGGAGATTTTTCAGAACATACACTGACATTGAGTTCCGAATGACTTTCTGTGGTAACAGTACCGTGCACTGAGATACTATGATCGGCATCTGTATGCAAAATCGATGATTTATCTTTCAAAAGTAGATTAGATTTTTCCGATGGTGTCACAGATTTTGGCGATGTCGAATCCTTATTTGATTCGAGCAACTGCAAACTTTTTAAGTTATACGACTCGTCTAAACTTTTTTCCGTGTGTGTTCTTTTCTCGCTAGGGTATGCTATTTCAGAAGCACTTTCTACGGTATTTATACTATTTTTATCCTGCGTTACTTTTAAGTATTCCTCGGATAAAGATTTCATGTAACTCTCAGAAGAAGTATTATGCGATATTTTTTCATTTATCTCATATGTACTTAATTTGTTGTTCTCAGCTAACACATTCGAGCGATTTGCATCGTCATCGGTAGCCTTAATACGCTCCGATATTATAGATTTTTCAATTTCATTTAAAATTTCTTTACTTCTTGCTTTATAATCAATTTCATGGTGGGAGTTAGGAAGAGATGTATCAGTTTGTGGCATTATCACAGACATTACATTATCAACTTCTTCTACTATGTTTTTATTGTCATTGAAAGCACTTGTTGAATTCAATTTTGTAGTATTAGTTAAGTACTCTGAAATACGTGGGCTGGCTTCTGTTTGATCCAACTCGACGCTTTTACTTTCACCATTTTTGGTAGTCTCTACAGTCGGAATTTCGTTGCTTTTATCAGACTTCAGAAGCATATCTGATATATCCTTCGAAGTACTTTTCTCTTCAATATTCTTCGAGTCCTCGTTTGATCTTTTACTGAAACGCGACATCATTTCTGAAAGAATTTTCAGTTCATTTTCAAGGGAGTTTATATCCTCGTACAAATTCTTGTTATTCAAACACGAGAAGTCCAATTTTCGAGAAGAGTCGACTTTTTCATTGGCAGTCTCAGTGCATATTTCTTTACTAGAATTTTTTGAATTAGATTTTTCTAAAGGAATCTCAGAGTATTCCGAACTACATACTTTATTACTATCAGATTGCAAGGAGGTACATTTTGCTTGAGAATGCTCAGACACCGTATGGAAATCCGATTTGTATTCTCCCAAATCAGAATGAATTGTAACTTCATCTTTAGAAAGTTTAGCTTCCGACTGCGTGACTATGTCGTCTTCCGACTTTGCCGCATTAACTTCGGTTTGAATGTCCTCTGAAATACTGCTCTTCTTCCCCGCTATCGAAATTCGTTTACTTTGCGTTTCATCCATGTACGTTTTGTTTTCGTAAGAAGTGTTTCTGTCGGAACAAACGTCATCGGAAGTAACCGATGATGCCGAACCGAGCTTGTCAGACTCGATGTGCTCCGATATACTTTCGTCGAGAACAGATTGAACACTTTGATGAACAGTGTTCACTTTCGAGGAACTCAATTGTTCCGATGATCGTACGCTTCTGAAGGATGTAGTTACCTTTTCCGAATTATTCTTATTGTATTCAATTTCGATGCTTTCATTCCTCAGTAGATTAGTATTTTTTACGTGCTCCGCAATTGGCTTCTTGGTACACAATAAATCAGATTCTGATCTTGATCTTAATAAGTCGCTATTCTTAAATATATCTTGTATTCTCTTCAGAGGAATCTCAGGTACTTTAAAATCTGCTAACGATTTGGACTCTATCGCTAATTTATCACTGTCCTTACTTGTTCCCTTTTTCGATTCCAGCTTTTTACGCATCTCATGAATAGTTGTGTCATATTTCTATATACGAAAAGAGAAACGTTTAACTCTATATTATTGAAATATTATTTCAATGATACTAAGATAGAATGCTTTTACTGACCTTTATCTGATTTAATAAATTAGCTTCTAAAGCTCTTAATTTCTGTTTCGTCTGTTTCCTGGCTTCCCTTTTTAAACGTGACATTTCCACCCGCCGTTCTGCCAATTTTTCAGTAAGTAATTCTATCCTTCCTTCTATGTCACTAGTATCGGATGAAACAGTTGTGTCCATAAAGGGACACACACTCCTCTCTATCAGTTATCGGAATCAAATGTATAAATTATCCGACTATCAAAGATCAAGTGTATAAACACAAATATTATGAGCAACATTGAATCTACCTTGTTGAGAGAAAACATTGGATGTTGCAGTGACAAGTTTAAGGGCGGCTTGTTCCATTCGTGCAACGCGCTCTTCTTCAGTCCTTAATTTCGCGTGCCAGGCCATCCACTCTTCCACACAATTCTTCCGCGACGTAAGGGCGGCTTCGCGTGCATTCAAAATTCTGAAAAACGTAATCGTATCCGATAATATAGATGCACTGTTCATAACAACCGAGCACTTAGAAAGAAACGAAGCTAACGATCGTGACAATTTGAAATCGCCCCAGAACCCTTCTTAATCGCAGGAACAGAACCGAATGCTCTTCACTACAGTGAAATACCGCAATAACACTGGAATGCTGATCGCCGGTGCAGAGTCTATTTTTACAATGCTTCACTTCATGGTATGAATACGCAGTTTATTATTAGACTTTTTCCACGCGTGTGTAGTGATTCGCAATGTTATTAATATTAACTTTTCGAATTGGTAAATTTATCTCGGTGAATAATTTAAGATATAACATAAACATGCGGCACGTGTTCTATTTATACACTTACTGTTCAAGTTTCCTCGAAGTTTTCATATTATGATCCTGCGATCTAATGACCACGGATTTAGAATAATTTCTATCGCTCTCCCCGCAACCATGCTGAGAAACAGTGAAATTACTGATCTCGGATTTCACCGGTGCACCATCCAAATGCTGCGTGCTTTTGTCTTCGCTATAAAACGAATTCTCATAAGCTTCCACGTTCTTGTCGAATACTTTCTGACATAATATATTCTCTTTACTCTCGTAATCGTCTATTCTATCGTTCAATAATTTAAAATGCTTATCCTTCGAAGGTTTGGAATGTCTGATCAGAGTCTGTTGAGAGCTCAGACTTTCATCGTGATCCGTGCAATCTAGAATTGCATTTTCATCATTTTTATCGGACTGAGTGCATTCCTTTTCCATCTTCGTCCGTTTATTATGATGCTTGATAAATTCTTCGGACACTTGGGAATTCGATTTAGATCGCTGCACATTTTCAGTAAGTATACTAGACGATGATTTACTTTTTTGGCATTTTGAACTTCGACGTTTCACATTTGGCTTCGACTCGGAATTATATTGAGATTTTTTGGATGTATCGGTCGGAGTTGTCTTGTTACTTTTTTTAGAAGTCTTCGAATGCGATTGTAAGAGGTCTTCAGAAATTTGGGATGATTTTGATATCTTCGATACCACATCTTGGCTGATAGAACTTATTTCCTCCGGTACGATTTCGCTATTTATGGTCGTGACTTTCGACAAAGATTCTCTCTCTCTTGGGGAGACTAGACTTTGAAAATGATTATCCGTCAGCTGAGAAGATTTCGTCTTTTTTGACAACTCCTCCACGAGGGTATCAGACTCCGATTTGGCGTGCTCGGAAACAGAATTATTTAAATTGCTTTGCAACAATTCTGAAACGTCCGGAGATTTATCAGCTTCAAAGAGATACTTCCCAGATGTACTGATGGAATGACCCGCTACCAATTTTGGATCAATAGAGTGTTGATATAATTTCAGTCTTAAAATATCCGCCCTAGGCATCTTCTCTTCAAATTTCCTCGACTTTATCTCATATTTTGTCTTGTTCCCATCTTTAAATTGTTTATAAGGACACTTTTCTTGAGATATGTTGCCTTGAATTATTTCATTAGGTTTATCAAATTTTAAAAATGAAACGTTAGATTCCTCGATGAAGTTCGTAAATTTATTACTCTTTGGTAGATCAAGTTTAGAGAAGTGTAATTCGCTTTCCGATATTTGCATGCGCGCATCGATCTGAGATCGATCGTGTTGAGACTTATCAGAATCAACCAATGAACTCATAGAACTGTTGCTCCTTATATCGTAACCTTTCATTGGGCCGGACAATCTTCGCGGAGATTGACTGTCCGCGCTTCTCTTCAATTTCGTTAAAATATTCTTCGTAGACATTTGAGGATTGAACATATTTCTTTGTTTTTGTAACATAAGTTTACGCTCTTGACTTGCGATTTTGTGGAGTTCTTTTAATCTGGAAAAAAGAAAACAGTTACACCAGAGGATCATAATAATTTTTTTATTAATCACATACCTGTTCATCTCATCTTTTTCTTGCTGCAATTTCAAAAGTAAAGCTCTTTGCTTCTTTTTTACAGAACTAACACGACTATCCTGACCAGTATCTCTTAATGCACGTTTCTGTTCCTCTAGTTTCACTAATTTCTTTGTTCGATCATTTAAGGTTTTTTCACGGGACTTGAACAGCATCTCGATTTTATCGTATCTTTGTTTTTCATCTTTTATCAATTGTGCAATCTGTAAGCGCATAATATATTGAATTTTCTGGAATATGTTATTATCAATATAGCAATATCGATTATTTTATTATACTCACTTCTAGATCTAAATACTTGTTAAAGGAACAAGTTATATCTCTAGTTGAAATACTAATTTCTGTTCCAGTCTCTGTTCGTATAGACGACGTAGTTTCGTGCAAACTAATCTCCGACATTGTCCTTAATTTACTAGGTAATGATATTTCTTCTATTTGATCTAAATCTTCGAATTGTTCTGCCGAATCCAATGAAAGCTGTGGAACTTCACTATCTCCAACAAATCCCCTTTCATATGGAATACCACACATTTCTGAACATCTACTTTGTACATTCCGTCGCGTTGGACGTATCTCGGTTTGCGTTGCCATGTCATTTACCGTCTGCGTTTGTACTTCTACTGCTTTCACTGCTGGTTTATTTATCTTATTTTGGTTGTCGAAATCATTCGTCATAGTCTGAGTTGTCGTATAATGCACTAAAATTGAAAATAATATTTCAGTGTTAATAATTTTCGGATTGGTCCCTTATTATATTTGAATTAATCGGTTCCATACTTTTGTCGGTCGCAACGTGTTTGTGTAGTTTGCTAATTTCTATACAATGCTCCATGTCGTCGATACTTCTTTCACCTGTTGCTTTAAAATAATGCGATTTTGATTGTTCACTTGGTTGATTATGCTGTACTGGTAACTCTTTCTCTTGATCCTGCTTAACATTATATAAACACTTCTCAACATCCATAACTTGTCGCAATGATTCATTAAAAGAATCAAGGAGATGCAACTCAGCTTGAAACTGCATATGCAAGGCGGTAGGATGCAACTATAATTGTGAAGGAAATGTTATATTTATAAAATAAATTAAGACTGTACAGGTATGCACTTACCAATGGCATGCCTTCTTGCTCTGTATCTGTTTTAATTGCATTATGTTTTAAACACTTAGAATCATTGTCTATATTAGTATTTTGTATAAGTTGTCTTTTCCGTTTAGACCTAGATACAAGATTCATATCTGGTGTTATTAAATCACAAAATTCTTCTTGTTGCGAACGACTCTCATCTCTAAAAGAAATTCTTCTTGGATCAAGCAAAGCATCCGACAAAACACTATCATTTAAATTAGATTCACTACTATTACTTGTTTGTTTGGTAGTGGTAGTAATGCTTTGCATATATGATTCCTCTTCTTTCTTTGTATTCGCGCTAATACATTGTTGTAAAGAAATGTCTGTATATTTTACATCTTCTGTAGTTTTATTCGATTTAATATTTTGTATAATTCTTTCGCAATCTTTGTTTTTAATTTGTTGCATAGAAGTTGTATTTGGACTTCGAGTTCTAACACTCATATTGGAATCTATTATACTTCCTATGTCTTCGAATTCTTTCGAATTCATAGCATAAATTTTGCTATCTATTTTACTTGTGGAAGGTTTCACTTTTTCGGATACCCTCTTTAGTTGATCTTTAAACAGTATATTTCCTGCTTTTCCTTGACTCTGACATGTTACTTTATGTTGCTTTATTTGCCTGTTCTCTGATGACAATATATGCTTCTGATCATCAGCTTGTTTTAATGAATATAAATCATCTTTGTATCGATAATCAAAGTTTTCCAGCATATTTCTTGACTCTCTTACTGTAACTTTGTCTGTCAACTTTGCAGACCGTTCAGAAAGTGATTCATTACTACAAGTTCTATTCTTTGATTCCAAAGAAGAATCCCTGGACTTTAAAGACCGTACATTAAGAGATTTGTGCCTTTTGTCATTATCCTTTTTAGCAGTAGATGTGGCAAAATTTTTTGTTTTTGGTTTTGTAGAAACAAAATCACTTTCTCTTGGCATGTGCAATGGTAATCTATCATTTTTTAATTTTGTAATTGATGCAGATTCACTTATGTTGTCAGAAGAATCTTTCCTAGAGACATGTCGTGGACTTCTAGATCTTTTTAAAAATTCTTGTCCCATTTCATCCTGCTTTATGAACATAGAATCATCTTTTCTAATTCTCTTAGATCTATTTTCTTTTTCTCTAGAATTTTCTCTAATGTATTCCTTTTTCTTTGATAAATTTGAAGATATAGAAATATTTGGTACTTTCAGCGGCTCTATTTCACTTGCTATTGTAGAAGAAACATCTGATGTTGAAAAGTCTAATTTTCTTTGAACACGTTCAAAACTTTTTGGAGGTTTGTCTATCCTCTCATGAAGAAGTTCTTTGGAAGGTGCTTCAAATTTGGATGACATTAATTCTTTTGATACACAGTTTTCTCTAGTGGCAAAATCCAATTTCTTAGCAGAGATTTTCAAATCAGGAACTTTTAATGGTCGTATGAAATCCATTTTTTGTACAATTTCATGTAAATTGTGAACACTATTAGACTTTAATACTGTTACAGCTGGTTCAGCTGCATTTTTATCGTTTGTATTGTGTACCTGTTTACAGATCTCAGTAGTATCTTCTAAAGCAAGTTTTCGTTTTACAGCACTTATAAATGTAAATGGATATGGTTGTACAGGGTGGTACGACAATAAATTCTCTAAACCTTTTAAGTCAAATTCAGTTGACAAATAAGATGGCTTTCCTTTAGATATTTGCTGTTGATAAAGATCAAGATTGTGTTTAACTTCAGCCGCCTGAAATTATGCATTTTATATTTTATAATTCCAGTAATATTTAAAATATATTATTTATATTACTCTTGCATATTATCTTACATCAAAGAAAGATATTAATATATTTTACATGGAATATAAATGTGCAATATCAATTTACTTACTGATGCAGATGCTTTTGCACGTTGAACAATAACATCTGGATCAGAAAAAAAGACATATTTCTTTTTTACATGGGTGTCTTCTTTCTTAGAGCTATTTCTCATATTTTAATACTTGTATTAATAAATTTATATTTAACTGTTTTATATTTATCCATGCTTACACTTCCAATGCACCATTTAACTGAAAAGAAAATATTTATTCATTATTATTAATACATAAAAGAAGAAAAATTGATATAATTCTCAAGATAATTATATTTATATTCATACTGAAATTGGAACCTGTTAATACCAATGTAGTGAAACTTACGTTCATTTAGTAGAATTCGTAATTAACTGTTAAAAGTTCCCTGTATTTATAACCTAATTCAGAACGCCATACTCCACTAATAAATTGTGTAGAATCGATCTGTAAGCGTCAATATGAAACAATGTATGCATTCCAAAATATTTTTCAGTAACGTTCTCACACGTCATACATTATTCATGTATATATATATTTTCGTAACATAGAATACAATAACTCATCATAACGGTTATTTGTAAACGACAATCACGTGGTACTCTACAATTTGTTACTCGCACAAAATTGAAAACATGGCAACAACATGAATGATCGATAGACACTGTTACTATCGCAGATCGCAACACGTATGTCAATAACGGAATAACTATGTTTTCCCTTTTAAAAATGGGTACGGTATTATATGAATGTACAAATGTTGTATGCGAAACATTACGAAAGCAACGGAAAATATTAACGATAATAACAGTTCGTAGTACTAAACGGAAACATTATTGTCGCTCTACCTAAATAAAGTGTGCTTAAATTTTTGCAACTTCGTCAGTCCTGACAACATTGATTTCTTGCGCTATGAAGTTAGCCGTGAATAAAAACCGTGTCAATATTACTTACGTTAAGATAGATACATACCTACTCACTATATTCATATATTTTAGTAAATACTAATCTCGTTCTCGCTTCTTGAAAGATAGTATGTAAAATGATATTCCCATCTATAATATGAGATTCTATGGTGCGAAGCACAAATACAATGTGCACATGTTAATCATAGCTATTCTTCAGTATATACTATTTTTGAATATGGAACTGTCGATTTAATGATAATTCTTCTTAATAATAAATGTAAACAATACATTAAAAGCGAAGTAAATTCCATTATTATTCATTTGTATTTCATGAATATTCTTTGTTTTATATTCACGTTAATATTATTATCAGTGTAAAGTCGAGGATATTTTATTATGTTTATGTACAAAGTAGATCAAAACTGGTGAAGAGTAAAACCGTGAATTTCTAATGTATAGAAGACAGTAAACTTTTTTCATAAGGCACTATATTGTACTTAGTAGTATATATACATATGTACTTATGTATATAATGTGTGTATATGGTTAACGTACATTTTGTTTCATAAAAAGATTTAATATTATAACGCGATGAGCAATTGCAAAGAGAATAAGATTTAACTGTTATTTCAATTAATAATATAATTGTTATTGCATTTAATTAATCAGTCATTAAATACCACATGTTTAATGGTTATAGGTTAGACAGTGATTATAAAAAGTTGGCAAAATAAATTTTTGATACCTGACATTGTTTATGAAGTAATGTTATATCTTACAAGATCTTCTCGTATAAACAATTTTTTTCGATGCTTAAAACTTCCAGTTGGTAAGATAATATACTAGTACTTTATAATAAAATTAGGAATGCTGGGTATAAAATGTAGAAATTTTTTAGTGATTCTTAATTTTAGATTTAATATGTGATCAAAATAATGAATCTAATTTAAAAGAGAGATTCATTATTTTTCAAATTAAAACAGTATTAGTTCTTTCTTGAAAGAATAATTATCATAATTGAATTTTAAATTTGCAGATAACTTTTGTCAAAACATGTCAGTTGTAATTAATGAAAGTAGTCATGATGACAGCAAGAAAGTTGAGGAAAGTAATAAAAGACATATAACCGATGAAGACCATGAAGTTGCAACAAAAATACAGAAGGTAGAAGCAACCGAACATGAAAAACTACCTAAAAGAAGTAACTTTGTATTAATGATGGGATATCTTGGTAAAGGTTATTTGGGTATGCAAAGAAATCCTGGTAGGAAAACAATAGAAGAAGATTTATTAACTGCTTTATTCAAATCTAACTTAATTAAAAAGCATCAGTTTGAAGATATTCGACAACTTCGCTTTCAAAGGGCTGCACGCACAGATAAAAATGTGTCAGCAGTTAGACAAATTGTTTCTCTTCAATTACGTAAGTCTCTTAAGAGTAATATGTCACTTTTTATGTTTAATATAGTATGTAATGTTTTAATATTAATTTTACACATACATGTATGTATTAACACATTCACAACCATTGTGTAATTTCAAATATCTTTATTATGGACCATGCCTTTCTTGAATTGTTTCACGTGATGTGTTATTCATATAACTTTTACACATTTAAAACATAGTAAATAAACCAAACAAAGCATTTTAGATAAATGTCATATGTGTGTGATATTTTGATACAGCCAAAGCAACAATAGGGTGTACTATATCCCAAATATATGTTAATATATCCCTGTATCACACATATGTGATACATAGTTGTGAATGTGTTAGAGTAATATGAAAACAGGTATATGATTATTAATGATATATATATAATGTGTTCATAAATTTGTAGAATCGAAATAGTTAAATAATTTTTTCTTTTTAGCGAGAGATGTAAATAAGGAGGTAATAAATGAACATCTTCCACAAGAAATTAGGATATTCGGTCTTACAAGAGTAACAAAGAATTTTAATTCCAAACAACAATGCGATGGAAGAACATATAGATATGTTATTCCTACATATGCTTTTGCTACAGAAGACACAAGTACTTTTAATAGTACGTCAGAAGAAGGAATAGATGCAGATGAACGCTTGAAACAAATTTCTATAATAGATGGAAAACCATACAATGAATATCGATTGTCTAAAGATAAGCTTGATATACTTAATGAAACTTTAAAATTATTTGAAGGCACACATAATTTTCATAATTTTACAATAAAAGTGTAAGTTATCCTAATTGGTTAAAATTTATTATCAGATATAGATTAACTCTAAAATTCTGTAAAATACTACTTTATAGACGACCAAACGATCCAAGCGCTCATAGATATATCATGAAGTTTCTCTGTGCTGAAGTATTTGTTGAAAATGACACAGAGTTTGCAGTATTGGAAATTATAGGACAAAGTTTTATGTTGCATCAAATTAGAAAAATGATATCTTTAGTGATAGGAATATGTAGAAATATTATTACAAAAGATATTATTAAAGATGCACTGTCACAAGAGAAAATGGATATTCCTATTGCACCAGGCCTTGGATTAACTCTACACCATGTATGTTACCTAAAATTTAAGTAACATTCTTGGATTAATATTTACGTTTAAAATTTATATTTTTCTTAGGTACATTATACATATTACAATAAAAGGTATGGAAATGATGGAATTCATAAACCATTAAATTGGGAAGAATATGATAAAGAAGTGGCCCAGTTTTATAGGGATTTTATTTTAAAAGATATAATATGTACAGAAGTTGAAGAAAAGATGTATCCTTTTTTACAATTATTTAGTTCTTCAATAACTGATATAATGTATTTGCCTTAATTAATATGAAATAGAACACTAAACTGGTTAGCTACTTATCTTACACCGAACAGGTTTAAATTCATAGAGAGAATTTACGAAAATGGTGATGATTAATATTGTATTTTGTACACATGAAATACATTTTCTGACAACTGTAACTATTTGACTTCTAAATTGATCTGTTATTAATTACACAATGTTTGTATAATTTACCAAATAAGATATGAAACTAATATCTATATTTTACTTATTTTAAACATATTTCATCTTTAAAACATAACTTAACATTTCTATCATAATTATCACAAAAAGATAACCATTCACCTTTTTTCTTCCTCTGTCTCAATGGTTAAAATATGCGTCATATATTATTTACTTCTCTTTCACGCGCAATCTTTGAAGAATATATTTTGTATGTGTGCTGTGTTTCCCCTCACGACTACACTCACATAACAGATGAGACTCTACTTGGAAATTACGTTTGCCTGAATCCGGTAATTCCAGATTGATTCAAGATTGGTACACGGCTATAACTGCGGGTACCGGCTACAGTGGTGAACCGTGATTACAGCAGTTTACTCCAGTATTATGAGAAATATTGTAATTACACTCTTTTTAACAGTCAGTTATAGTAAGTATCGATATTTTCATTTAATTTTTTAATTGTTTAAATAGAATTACAAAATTTGATATGTTTTAGATAAATAAACATTTGAAATTTTTTTTCATCTTATGAAAATTAAAATTTTATTATATAATGTACTGTGAATCTTAAAATTCCTTTAATACATGTCTTAATAATTCCAACACAGCAGTAAAATAAAAAAAAGCAAACATAAGTTTTAGAAGCCAGTTTACTCATGACCTTGAACTTTAGAGAAGGCAGAAAACATTTATATCAGAATCACATAACAGTCATATTTAAAAATTCAAGTCAATATGGAGAATCATGAAATGATGTTCTAATTTTTATTTTATTTAGAATTTTATAAAGTTTTTAATAATAAATAAATCAGTCTATGAAAATATTATTTCATATTTACAGGTATATTAGAAACTGGATATGGACAGAGAAAAAAGTGTGGGTAAGTTTGAATAGTTCAATATGCTTTGTTTATTTTATGTAATGTTGAATACGAAACAAATTATTACAAGATGTTCTAGTTATTGAGGATGATAATGTATTCATTTTTATTTTTCAATAGTGTGGAAAAATTTCAATGTAAAAATGGAGAATGCATAGCAAGTGTATTGTTATGTGATGGACGACCAGACTGCAAAGATGAATCTGATGAAACATTCGCAGAATGTACTAAACCATATATCATATGTCCTCATTATGCATTTCGATGTGCATATGGTGCTTGCGTAGATGGAGATGCAACTTGTAATGGAGTAAAAGATTGTATTGACAATAGTGACGAAACATTGTCTAGGTGTAATAGTTCAAATAATGCATCTACAGTGTGTCTAAAAAATCAATTTAAATGTAATAACGGGGAGTGCATCTCTAGAAACAATTTGTGTGATGGTAATGCGGATTGCACTGATAGCTCAGATGAAACATTTATTCAATGTGGAGCGCTTCCGTAAGTTGCAAAATGAAGACATGTACCAAGTTTGTGTACAATATTTATAATTATTATGTTACACCGTTTTCGATTATCTAAAGTTTAGTATAATTTTCGTAGCTGTGAACAATTCTTTTTCCGATGTCGTTACGGCGCCTGCATTGACATTGATTTAAAATGTAACGGAGTCATAAATTGTGTGGACGGTTCAGACGAAGATCCTAAATTATGTACGACAACGGTACGCCCGACAACACGTCCAGTAACACCTCCTGTAACGTATCCAGTAACACCACCCACTTCCAAACCAAAAGTATCTTGTATAGCACCGGCACAGCCACAAAATGGTTTCTGGAAATTGCATAAATCACAGTGCTCCACTGGAGAGGATTGTAATGTTGAACAAGGCGTTCGATTCGATCCAGGAGCATATTTAATATATAGTTGCAATCGCGGTTATAAAATTGAAGGCAGGCCTGATGTTATTTGTGGCTTAGGGGGTGAATGGTTATATATTCCTCGGTGTATAGGTAAGAAAATGTTGAAGCTCAATATGAGAGTGTGTAATAATAGGAAACTTAATTTAATCAGTTAATATTTTCTATAATTTAGAGGTACGCTGTAAAAATCTAAATTCGGCTGCAGTATCGGCTGAATATTCGTATTTTGGATCTAGTGTTGTGTCATATGATTCACCTAAGCCTAATACAGTAGCAACATTAAAATGTCGTAACAGTTATCGTGAGGACCAAAGATTTTCATCGTCTGCAAGCGTTACATGTAATGAAAATGGACAATGGGAACCAGAACCAATGAGATGCCTCGCAGGTCCGCCAATAAATATTTATATTAATAGTTCCTCTCTTTCATTGGAAATCAATATAAAAGAGAATAATCTGACTTTGATAGAAACACTAGGTGATAAAATCATTATATACACAAATAAAGATCAAGAAAATAACCCAGACATTGACATTAGAATTATGAATAATGATAGATATGCATAGACATATTATTACAGAATTTTGTAATTGAAAATAACAAAATTATCATCAAGAAAAAATGTATTTCCTACATGTTGAGATAATTCACATGTATAACAGTGTATTATAAGATTTTATTTATTTCAACAGACTGGTTTGACATTATATTTATATGATCAATAAATACATGATGCATTTAATTACCTTCAAATTTGTTATTCATTTCTATAAGATGTTTATATGTTTTAAAAATAAATGTGAATCATCTCTTTTCATTTATATATAATTAATTATAATATTTAACTATTATAATTACTAAATTTGATTTTATTTATTTACTTATAAACATTGGAAACGTTACACAGTGTATTGTATTAACAATATTTTAGTCATTAATTATTAGATGTATGTACTTGACAGTTATATAATTCTTATATAATTGAATTGTAATGGTCAATAATTTAAATGCATGTTTCAGTGTGTGGTGTTGTTCCTGCAAATGTTAAACCACTTATAGTAAATGGAACTCAGGCAAATATTACTCAATTTCCATGGCATGCTACACTTTATAGAGCGCAAACAACAGACGCGCCTAAAGAATTTATTTGTGGTGCAACTATTATTCAGGATAGTTTGTTAGTTACTGCAGCTCATTGTGTTTCTGACGATTCCTGGAAATATTACGTAGCAGCTGGCAATATTTTTAGAGATTATGACTCTTCCTTCCATAATGCAAAGTATGTGAAGAAAGCCACGGTACGTACGTCTGTGCCAGATTATTTATTTAAAAGTTATGTTTAATATTTCGTTAATATACTTTGATTTCAGGTAGAAGAAGTCCATATTTCTTGCGACTATAATGGGATACTTGGGTCTTATGCAGCAGATATAGCTGTATTAAAGATCACTGAACCATTTGTATTCTCATCATTGTTGCAACCAATATGTTTAGATTTTTCTAATAACATTTTATTGGACCCCGAGATGTATGGCAGAGTAGCAGGATTTGGTAGAACTGCTACTGGTTCAAGCAGTTTCGTTTTACAGACACTTACATTACCATTTGTTCCTAAAAGAAAATGTACAGATGCGAGTGTTACATATGAGACCCAAAATTACATTACATACGATAAGCTCTGTGCAGGTTATACAAATGGTGAGTAAATTTAAATATGATATGTTTTTTGTATTCCTTGAAAGCTAATTAACAAACATAAATTACAGGATCGTCAGTTTGCGAGGGCGATAGTGGCGGTGGATTAATTTTCCAATGGGGTTCTTTATGGTATTTGAAGGGTATTGTCAGTGTTAGTCTTGGAACGAGAACAGTAGGAGGAACTAGGCAATGCGATAGTACCACGTATACTTTGTATACTGCTGTTTCTTTCCATATGTCATGGGTAGAACAGTTTCTCCATAGTATGGAGCTACTGAAACCATTACCTACTTGTAATGCAAAGCAATGAATACTCTAAACGTGTGATTTATAATATTGAACATTTAATGTGATAAAAACTTCAAAGAGTAAAGCCTTAATGAACAAAATACATCGAAGCCTTAATGACGAAAATCATTTTACATAGTTTACATTTTGCATTATCACACATTTTTTTGTACGGTATACATTTTATATAATAGAAATAACATGCTTCAGTGACAATAAATAATTATGTTAATTGTTACGAAATTATATAAATTAGATTAAAATTAAGAGAACTTACACGTGTAAGTATATATTTCTACAAATTACAAATATTGCATTTACATAGATAGTAAATTTTTGATGTTATTTTAATGTAAGTACCAGGGTTGTGTATATACACAAATAAAAGAATATACAATTATTCTTGCAAGAGTTTTTTTTAAGTATCACAGAGTCAAACTATTTGTATTTGTAAAGATAAGTTTAATATAAAAACCATTCTTTGTAATTTGTTGATATAATGTTTTATGCATATTCAGGTTCTGCTAATGCTTGCTTTTTTTTAACAGATGGTGATGTTGATTCCAATGAAGAGATATTGGATCCTATAGTATCTATTAAAAATGTATTGTTAGAAATATTATAATAATAGATATGAGTTATACTTGCATCATTATAAATATCTTACTTCCAAACTGTAATTTTTTTAATCTCTCCTCAATTTCATCAATATTGGTGCTTAATGAAGTACTTGGTACTGAAGGTAGAACATTCTCCTCAAGTTTTATTAATTCATCTAGTTCTTGTTCCAAATCAGTATATGAATCATCTTTAAAGGTCTCTGATAACATAGATTGAACTTCCTTCTGTTCTTCTAAAGCCTAAAATTTGACATTAAAATAATTTAATATTTCAAATGAAAAATAAATCACTTGCAATTAACGTTCTATTTACCTCTGATAAGTCATCCATAATATCTCTAACATTACTTTCTGATAAACCACTTTCATTCAATTTCTTTAACACATCAGACCCTGTTTTATATGCTGATAACACAGCCGTGTTTGTATGAGTATCTTGAATACGCAATATAAGAATTCGAATATTTTCAAGTGTTTGAGACCGTTTTACAATAGTGTTTTCCAATTCTAATTTTTTTCTTAAATGCGTTTTTGCCACTTGGCGTAAACCTTTATTCAAATAAGATTTAGCTTCATTTATAATATTGATTTTTCCTTCTTCCAAAAGTTCTATTTCTCTTACAAGTTCATTCTCTTGCTTTAGTAATTTGTATAAACCTTCCTCAATTTCTGTTACATTATCAGATGGATGAACAGGAATTTTTATCAGTAACTCATGTTTATCTGTACTATTTGTAAAAGTCACTCTTTTTTCACGTCTTAGCCAAATTAAAACTAACATTACTGTATTATCTGATATGTTTTGGTTTATTTCAGATTTACAACTTTTTACTATTTCAGTAAATGGTACAAGAATATGTTCTCTTTTAGTTTCCAAAAGGGAAAAAACTGTTTCTCCTAGATTTTTAACAATTTTTAAATGTATGTATCTGGTGTCTTTATCAATTTCATTATTTACAACATAACTTTTAACTTTTGAAAATGACCACACAAGTGGTCTCTTCACAAATATATCTATCGACCATGCTGTCCATGAATCACAAGGTTCTTTTAAAAATTCAGCCTCTGTAATTATTTCATTGTTCCTAAAAAATATTATGTACATTAATAACTACATAAAAATATCCTCCTCTTAAACAATATTAATGACTCTTGTATTTTGTCTTAATTATGGAACTTATATTACCGAAGGAGTTCCTCAACAACAGTTACTAAACAATGCGGTGTACATCCTTTCCTTTTAAAAGCAATATTTAAGTCTGAAATGGAAAAACTGATTTGCATTGTGTGATCCAACCATTCGTATATCAAATTTTGCCAAAACTTATATTTAGATGACCAGTCCAAAGGATTTGCAGATCTACTTCGAAAAGGAGAAAACAAAGCGTTCATTCTGTCTTCTTCGTTCCAACATTTTGGCATTTTATTAGACGGTAGAGGTATATTATCCATCTTTTTGTTATGAAAAAATTGAATGTTTCTTTCAAATTATGTCTTATACGATACTAAGGCCTAAATATTTACCATTTGTACTTACTGTGAACAGTAATTTGTAAACAGTAAAACTTTAATTACACGTTAAATTAATGTTTCCTCAATTTATTGAGTATTAATAAAATGTTACATTCCATGAAAGAAATGAAAAAACGTTAAGTGCATTCTGTTAAGACATCAGTATCAAACATAAAAACAAACAGAATATTGTTTACACGTATGTACAATAAATTAAGACAAACAATATTTATACTTAATAATCAATTATTCAAAATATTAAGTCATGGTAAAAATCATAGTTTTTGCGTATATACGCGTGCACTGATGTTAATCAGCTGTTCGTCAACATTCATTATGGCACACTACACTAAAATAAATGCACCTGTAGAATACACTACTGGTCAGCCATCTGTGATGACCTCAGGAACTACGTAGCGCATATCTTTTGTTTCCGAATCAAGTTACCATCGTAATTCTAATAATACCTCAATTTTTCATTTAATCGTTTTTTTATTTATCAAACCTAAACCACAAGAATTATTATCCGAAATCAAATATTAACCTTCTATGTTTAAACATTTTTAACTACAATGTTATTATGTCAATGACCCTGATTAGTACTGATTAATTGTCTTATTATTATCTGCAAAACTTTTTATGTTTGAGTGTAATTCATCGATTGTTCAATAATATCTATGATCTGTCCCACCCTCGATTCTAATAATTTATTTCGTTCTTCGTAAGTCCCTTCGTTGTCCTGAGTAAGTCTCGTCGATAAGGGTGGCACAAATTCGTACACGCGTCGCGCCATCGTCGTTCTAATTTATTCCAGATAAGGAACTCGATGAAACCGTCGATTGCGACGCCCGCAGAATTGCAAACTGTGATTTACCGGCTAGCAAACGCGATCCGATACACCGGCGCGCAACACGGGGGATTATTAATTATTCGGCATTGCAGCTACAGCCTGGCCCATGCTCGGCTGCAATTAGCCCGGGGGTCTTAATTATAAATTAAAACAACCGCTCGACAATTCTTGGCATCAAAATGTTAATTCGCGCGCTCGTTCGCTGAGCCAAAGAGAATGGTCGAATTCGAGTCCTCCTTTTCGGTTTCGCTCGATACTGGCTTCCGTCATCGAATTACTTCCACCTCCGTGGATAGTCGTCATAATTGTAATTATTTCTCGTCGCTGACGATCGTACAATTTAATCCGTCGCGAAATGGTCCACGTAGCCTGCTTCCTGCTGCAAATAGGGCGACTCCAAGATGGCCGAGTCTTATTTCGATTGTCAGATGTTTGCGTTCTCAATTGTTTTTAGTACAATAAATTTTGATATTGTTTTTAGCTACTTTTTATATGTATTTCATAAATGCGTGTATTTTTGTTATCAATGATATTCGTGATGCAGCTGTTCTGTTGAGAAAAGTCGGCCATCTTAGCTTATATTTCAATTCCTAGTCCTACGTTAACACGAAAAAAAATTACAAAATTCCCTATTTTTTTTCACTGTCACGAAGAATGAACAGCTTCGAGAATACTTTTGTCATCCAAAGAAAAATTACAAAATCGAATTCCCTACCTTTTTTTCACTGTTACGAAGAATGAGCAACTTCGAGAATACCATTGTCATCGAAATTGTGCCGCGATTGAAATAATCTCGACTTTATTAGGGTTCGAAGTGTCGAGACACAGCGGTGCCTGAGGTTTGCTTCAGCAGACGGTGCCCAGGGACAGGAATGAAGCAACTAGAGAGCAGGCTGGATAATGGGTAGTTGATATAATACGATATAATGGAACCATATAATACGGGTGGGTGTAGGCGAGGCGTTATTTATGTATGGGAAACGCTCGGTCTACAGGGACCGTGGAATCAACAGCTGGACTAGATCTTTCGCAATCTTCTATTCGCCGTCTCTCCTCGATGCTGTTCCTACGAGCCAGCGGCTCTTCGATTAACTTGTTAACCAGCTGATCTTTCTTGGTCACGGATCCATCACTGTGGACCCGGCACAGCGAGGATCGTGACTCGGATCGATTTGTTCCATGGAAAATGAGAGTCTAAGACAGATTCGATTCTAATTGCATATTTTTCTGAGGAGCGAACAGCGCAGCGAACAGCGTGAAGTGATGTCCTATGACGTCGCAAGTGCCATCTTCCCAATTGATCGAATGCATTGTGACATAAATTACACTTGGACATGATGTTATTCGAGTTTTATAGTATTCTTGAAAATTTCATAATTCAGACGTTGATCCTTTAGAACGAGAGTACTAGTGATCGATATGTTAGCAGTTGATGACTATCATGAAAAATCGTACGCAAAATCAAAACCTATCGCCACTTTTAGTTTCAAAATCCTGCTCAGAAAGGTTTATTCAATGTTTCCTTTGATTCATTCAATTCACGAAAGACCATCACACAAAAGCAAACAAACAAACTCATTACTACAATCCGTACGAAGGAGCAATAGCCGTCACTTGCGGCAACGGGTTAATTGGTAACACCGAAACGGCCGATTGTCCGCGGTGTAAAGGCGGGCGCGAAGGGTAGAACGAGAGGACGGCTCGGTTTGTGAATCGGCAGGCGAACGTATCGAAATTACCGGGGAGGGCTCTATTAGCGGACGGGCCTACCAAACAATCGGAGCGGCGGCATGATCATTGCGCGGCCGATTGTCGACGTGGTAACGAATCGTCGCGCGAGCGCCGGCTGTCGTCCGAGCAGATTGCGAGCACCTGTCCTGCAGAAAATATCCACCGGTGGCTACTCAACGGCGAGGCTGGCACGGCAGAAGGTTTGTCAGCTGCTGGCGCAGCTGAGGTAACCGATCGCCATCCATCGGATGAGATGACGCTATGTAGATCGAAAATGTTCGAGTCTTTCTCGATCGCGGCTCGGGCCCCCGGCCTCCTCTCCGGTTTCAACGGACCGGCTGGCTGCTCTCCGGCCGCGGTCCACAGATTTTTCAACCTGTCGATAGGCCGCATATCTTCTAGGGATAACGTTTCATCGCTGGAGAATCTTCTCTAGCCGGAACTAATGCGGCCAAATCAAGGACGACGGGACCGCGTCCAGCTGCGAGGCGTCCCTAGGAATTTTCGCCTCGCGACCTGGAATGCTTCGCTAGGAATCCATCGAGGCGTGCTATCGGGGGATTCAGGTGTAAGGGGAACTAGAGTTTCTATCGAAGGTTTCAACCCTTTGTGGATGATTGTTCTTTGTAGCGTGCGGAAGCTTTGGTAGATTAAATTATGTCGAATGCTTAGATAAAGAAAGAAACTGGATACTGATCTTTTGTTTTAATTGAATCATTTGTTAACATAATATTCCAAATATGTTGAATGTTTTGATATTGATAATTTGATAATTTTCATTCCAGTATTGTGCCAGCTTCAATCGATGTTACGCGATTTTGGAGCACGAAGATTAGCGTTCGCGATAGGTAATTGTTCGTTGTCGCGACGTAGACCGCGACTATCGTCGAACAAAGTGGCTGAACGTATAAAGAACGACGTTGAACAGTGTCGCAGCGTGGACGGTGTAAGGTTCGGTGTCGCGTATACATCGTTGCGCGCACGATATAAATTTACGGCGCGTGTCGGGCTCGGGTTTCTGAAACACCTCTCCAAAAATCCATGCTTTTTTGCGAGCAGTGTGCAGGTTGGTCTCGTGTTGCCTGTCAGATCGCTCGGAAACGCTTTCGATACATCTCGCGTGACGCTCCGCGTTCACGAAAACACGACATTCCTCGAGCGATTAGACGGAACGAACTCGAATTCAGTGGAAAGTCCTGTAGGAACAGGCAGATCTTTGAATTCATTTCTAGCGCAAGTGGTTAAATCAATCTAGGAATCTCCATCACTCGTCATGGAGCTGCACAGGGTTAAACCTTTGCATTCGAAAGTATTTCGTTAGAAATATTTAACATTTTCCGACTAGACCCAGACGATACTTTTTCAAATTAACTCAAAGAAAAATTGCAAGTGAATTGAGAAACAAAGCTTTTTATCCCAATATTTCACACACCGATGCATTATATACAGTTGAATATTGTATATCAAATTTTATAGCTTTACTACATGAAATCAAGTGGTGACTGAGTCACCTCGAGTGCAAAGGGTTAATAAATAGTTTCAGAGAACACTATCCCCTAACTCAACAACAAACAGAACACCCTACACCAAACAGTAAACCCCATCGAGCAAAAAGGTAGCTAAAAACGCCGAATAAAAGACGATCAAGCCATAGAATCATCTCTGTTCCATCGGGTCAAACAGCGAATCAGCGACGCAGGTCATCGACCATCAAAAAAATCGCAAGGGTGCATTATTGCATCGGTCGCCGAAGCGATGAAAGACGATCAAGCCGTACAATCATCTCAGTTCCATCGGGTCAATCAGCGAATCAGCGACGCAGGTCATCGACCATCAAAAAAATCGCAAGGGTGCAGTATTGCATCGGTCGCCGAAGATCCTCGGGAGCGGGCGGCGGTGCGTGCGGTCGCCGGTGGGGGACGGCCACGTGACCGAGCGCGTGTTCCAACAATAACAGCTGCACTGTTGCACTTCCCTCAATTCACGTTCAGCCTCCACCGAAGCAGGATCTCCGGCGAGTCCTCCGAAACCCCTCGGACACTCTTCGTTCGTTCGTTCGTTCGTTGTTTCTTGACAGCCGACAGAGTATCCTCTGTCTGTTCGAGCTGCAAAGTCGAATTTACCCTTGCTACCAGTGCGAACCGCGCGGATCTAGATCGAAGGATCTGTCGGTCGATCCCAACCGATCGTGAATCGTAGCCCGGCGATCAACCGAGCCGCGCGTATGGATCGTGAGCCGCGAAGATTGGATTTTAAATGAACTATCGCGGCCGAGCTGATTTATTTCGGTGATTGAAAGTGCGCCGCTCGAACGGTTCGCGTGGGATGCTGTAAGAGAAAGAGCGGCCGATCGACGCTTCCAAGGAAATATCGAGGACAGAAAGGGAAGGAGAGGATGCCGTCGAAGATGATTGCGCGAGGATTAATCTTCGTCCTCGCCGCCTGCTTCTTGCTCGCTCTCGTCGAGGTAAGACGGTTCGCTCCTCGGATTTCAATGGACCCGCCGGTTAATCGATTTTCTTTTTAACCCTTTGCACTCGAAGCCTCTCCTAGGAATATTCAACGTCCGACGAGCTGCAGACGCTTCGGGAAATTGAATTAACCCTTTGCACTCGGATGTATGTTACTAGATTTTTACTATTTCTTTACGAGGAAGACGATGTTATGTGAGACTTACTCCCTGGTTTCATACGATAAATCTGTAAAATTCGATAATATTTTACCTTCTGTGATTGATCTGAGAAATATTGAAGAAGGTCCGAATGCAGAGGGTTGAAAATCGATTCGTTCGTAGCGAAGTAACGTAACAGTCGAAGCTTCAAGATTTAACAGTAATTGTTACAATCATCCTTAAAAATCGATTCGTTCATAACGATCCAAATAGCATAACAATCGAAGCTTCAGGATTTAACAGTAATTGTTACAATTATCATTAAAAAATCCATTTACGTCTCGTGGAAAACTGTCGAATGTTTCCAGTGAAAAGCTTCCGAGTGCAAAGGGTTGATAAATTAATTAAAGGGATTCTCAGTCACCATTTGATGCGATATATACAAAATCACAAAGTATTATAAATAATACTAAGCTTCGCATAATGCATCAATACGTGGAATATTTATATAAAACAGCTTTCTTCCTTCATTTACATACGTTTCTTCATTACTTTCAAATAATGTCATTTACGTCCCATCGAAAACTGTCGAATGTTCCCAGCGAAAATCTTCCGGGCAAAGGGTTAAGTCCCTCCGGTGTCCGATGTCTTATTTACGAAATCTCGCACCCCTCGTTTTCCGCCCTCCGCGCCGCGAATGGATTCCTCCCGCTAAGGAATAACGAATGAATCAATTTCTCACGGAACGGTACGCTTCGCGATCGTGTCGCATGCTGCGGAACGGATTCCGCAGCGGCGGTACATGCAGCCGAGCGGAGGGCCCATCGGAGAAGCGCGTAAATCTCCATCGAGCGCGTTTGTCCCTCGACGCTGGATTAGCAGTTGATTCTGATTTATCCGGTGCCGAGCGGACGCTGCGCAGGTGTGCTCGCTCGGCCGGCAAACCTCAACGGTCCGTAGAAAAGTTGTACGAACGCCGTTCGCGCGACAGGATCGCTCGTCGAAGTAAACAAACGAAAGCGAACAGCTTCGACATCGTCGCGAGAAGGTTCGCCGCGATCGGCGAGGCCGAAGCAGGATGAATTGCGTAAGGCGCGGTCTTGAACGCGAAGGAAGCGATAATTCTTGACAATTACAACCGCCGGTGAACATTTATGCGGGATACCGCTAAGAATGAAAACTTTGACGCTAAAACTAGCGGACGGGTTGGATTGAGCTGAGGATGTTCATTTTGTGAGTATCTTAACCCCTTGCTATTCGAGTAACTACACCATTCGTCTGCGACTTAGTCTTCCAAATATGAACATTTCATCTCAATGCGCATGGATCAAAGCAAAAAGCTATTTTGTTACTATCAACATTTTATCTTGAAAGAAAATTTCTACGTAAACTGCAGTGGACAATTTCTCCTTTTTTCTAAACTGCGGATAGAAACACTTTGCACGAGCTCAGTAGCAAAAGTAAATAATACAAGGGGTTAAAGACACGGGAGAAACGATCCCCATCCGACCGAGAGAATCCTCGCGAGCCGATCGCGGCGTGCGCTCCCCCAGTTCCAACCGGCTAATTATCCGCGCGGCGGGAACGATCGGGTACAGATAAAGCGGATTCGCGTGCTGGCCCGGTAACGACAATCGGAAGGACGAGAAAGGGCGCCGGGCCGGGGGAGCCCTTTATTTCGCGTCCGCGTCCGTGTGCGCGGCGCATGCATATATGCATCAGGATCCAGGCCGAAAGGTCGACGAACACCGGAGATAACTGTACGGTGGGGGAGGGCCGTCGCGGCGGAATTAACGAAAACCCGTGGAAACGCCGCCGCGATGAAAGGGGTAGCGGGAAAGTTGAAAGGAGGAGGAGGACGACGAGGAACACGGGGAAAAATGGAAGCGGAGGAGGACAGAGCTGAAATGGAACGGCGAACGCGGGACAGGGGTAAACCGAGTGGAACAACAGAAACGCGAGGGTGGCCGGCGGGACAAAAGGAGCCGCGGGGAACGGAATAGAACGTTAACGGTGAAAAACAGAGATAGGGGATGAAAGAGGGAGATGAAAAGATGGCGCAGAGGAACGGCCGGGCAAAAAGATACACGTGTAAACAGAATACAAAGGCCGGGGCACGGGGCTCGTGCCTCTCCTTGGATTTTATTCGGTGGCTTTTGCGCCTCCTTTTTCCCCTCGCCGCTCGGGGACGGGGGTGCGGCGGGGCGGGGCGATTCCACGGTCGTTTCCCGATGTATGACCCGTATTCCCCTAGACGTCGCGAAACGGCGGCTGCACCCGGGAAGCGGTTTTCCTCCTGTATTCCGTTTCCGCGCGCCGGCTGCGCTCGGGTTTCGCTTATTTATACCGCGGGAATACGGCAACGCGGAGGCCCCCGTGTAACGGAACGGGGATTGTTAAAGGGGAACGGTTTTTTGCGAAAATCGAGGAGAGAAAGGTGGAGAGAGTAAGGAACGAGTGCGCAGGGGAAGAGGAATCGGGACTGTAGGCTGCGGAGGAAGGTTTAACCCTTGCGGTTGGCGAACTGTGGAGGATGGAATTGTTTCGGTGCGCCGATCGCGGGGGGTAATCAACTATGGATAATTGAGCATTTGTTTAAGTAGGATTGTAATGGTTTGCGAGGTCGAAGGGTGGAGCTCGTTTTTAGAGGTGTAGAGATTAACGTTAGTTTTTTAGGTTTGATTGCTACTACTCAATTAGTTTCGTTAATTTCTCATAGAAGTGTCTGTACTATTTTAATAACTGTAACAGAAGAAATCAGAAGTAAGTCATTTTTACCCATCTGGTAGTTCTACTGTCAAATCATTTGTATACGGGACTACCAATCTACGAAAATTCTCCGAGATTATTACTCAATTAGTTTCCTTAATTTCTCGTAGAAGTGTCTGTACTTTCTTAATAACTATAACACAAGAAATCAGAAGTAAGTGATTTTGACCCATCTGGTAGTTCTATTGTCAGATCATTTGCATACAGGTGTACCAATTTACAAAATTTCCCGAGATTTTCAAAACATCTAGCACACTTCGTACGTGAGACTAAGACGAAAGCAGCGGGTTAATGCGGCATCGCATTAGCCTGGGCGGGGGTGGAAAAGGAGGAAGTTACACAGAGGTGGAGTCGGAAGGATCAGACGCGACGACGAGTCGGAGTCGCGAAGCCAGGAGCCGTGGGAGCTGACGAAAGGCTCGCCCGGCTAGGCCAGTGTCTGCTAACAAAGTGCGGAACACTGTCACGTCCACTTGCACGCGTAGCAAAGCCGAGGGGTGGGGTCGAACGCCGACGATCGCGGAAAGCGTTTTAACCTGTCGCTGTCTGAGAAGTTATTCCCATCGTAAATGAATTCTTACGTGGGAAAATCGGCGATAGGCATTGCTTTTAGTTAGTCGCTTCAGTTCGGCTTTTCCTCGGATTAGAGTAAGGTTCGGTGCGTCGGCTTTGCGATCTTCTAAGTTCTCTGATCGATTGAATATTCATCGATTTTTCATAATACAGTAGATCTCTCTGCAATGTGATTAGAATATTCCGTGTTACAGGGTTCCACGTTTACGAATTCCTCGTGAAATTCTCTTTTCGAACACCGGTTCAATTTATATTCATCGGTCTTGGTTACTTTTTGATGATCTATCGACCCTTTGCACTCGAGAGGAGACTCTCAGTCTTTTGATTTGATATAAAATTACAAAGTGTTGTGTATGATATTTATCCTTTGAACTCTAGGCTCTAATATTGCAGCAATTATAATGTTAAATATTTTAATGAATCAAAGAAACTACCCTAAAATTATTCGATTTTCCACACATCCAAATTTTGCATTGAGAATGAAAATAAAAGATCGAATTAATATTAAAGCACTTCTAATTTTCGCTAGGAATACTATAAAAATTGCAGTTGATGATTGATTACAAAACAACCTGGAGTGCTAAGGGTTAAGTTTTGTATAATGCATCGATACGTGAAATACTGAAATAAAGCAGCCTTGTTTCATAACGGTTTTCTCTTTACTTTCAAAGAACGTTGTTTACATCTCATTGAGAAACTTTACACGTATCTAGTGAAGAACCGAATGCGAAGGGTTAATCATTTATAGAATGACACATTTGAAAACAATGTACGTGTAACGTACCATCGAACAAACATCGATTGCAGCCGAACGCTCCAAAGTAGAAGTTTCCAAAGACTCCCCTAGAAACATCAGTTCCAAAACACCAAACACGATTTTTCACGAAATGAATCCTCCTCCCAATTCTCTCATCAGCCAACCAGAAAGGTAACCTAGGCACATACCAACGCTAGTCGCAAAATCCGAACAAGAACGGAATCGAACGCAGCACGTCCCGATCGGATGAATAAACAAGGACACGGCCGAGCGGCGAGACGGCTTTCGCGAATTCCCGCGTCTCCCCGCTTGGCTTCGCCGGTAAATGGGTCGCCTTTCACGAGCACGTTCCTTGGACGAAATTCTCGCGAGTCCTATCGAATATTTAACGATTTTACCGTGGCGTATGCACAAAGCCGGCGCGGGAACGATACGCGCGGCGCCGCGCGGTGGAAATCGATTCGACCGGAGGATTTGAAAGGCCGCGCCGCGTAAATGGGGCGGTCGAGTGGGCGCGGGAGAAGAACCGGCCGATTAACAGGCGTCGCGGGGTTCCCCGGGTCGCGGGAATCCGGAGGAAAACGAAGGAAACGAGCGGGACCGTTAGAATTCCCGCGGACGCCCGCTCGCTCCAGACGGACGCTTCTTTCGGCTCGAGTTCCCAGCGAGCGCTTTTCAGAAAAGGAACGCCTCTGAGAGAATCCCGTCTCGACGGAAATTAACCACTCGCGAAGGAAAGTCTTCGGTCTGCTAATAT